CCTCCTTGGCAACCACCAGTCTGTTCTCTATGTCTCCGATTCTGCTTCTGGTTAATAGGTAGGTTCATTTGTATCATTTAAATTCCACATATAAGTGAGATCATATGGTATTTGTCTTTCTCTTTCTGACTTACTTCACTTAGTATGATAATCTCCAGTTCCATCCATGTTGCTGCAAATGGCATTATTTCATTCTTTTTTATGGCTGAGTAATATTCCATTGTATATATGAACCACATCTTTATCCATTCATCTGTCAATGGACATTTAGGTTGGTTCCATGTCCTGGCTATTGTGAATAGTGCTGTTATGAACATAGGGGTGCATGTATCTTTTTGAATTATGGTTTTGTCTGGATATATACCCAGGAGTGGGATTGCTGGATGATATGGTAATTCTATTTTTAGTTTTCTGCGGAATCTCCATACTGTTTTCCACAGTGGCTGCACCAGCTGACATTCCCACCAACAGTGTAGGAGGGGGAACAAGTTTCTAAGTGGAAAGTGACATTTGAAAAATAAATCTGGAATCAGAATACAGGACAAATTTCAGGAATGGAGAGATTAGAGACAGAAAAATAATTAAGAAAATTTACCACGTTATGCCTGAATTATTGTTAATAAAGGCATAAACTAGGTGAATAGAAACAGTAAGAGGGATGTGTGGGATTTGTGAGACCGTAAAATAGGACTTACGTGTTAAGTTGGGACTAGATGAACTTTATTGATCCTCTCCTAAAAGATAATTACTTCTAGTATACACCTCAATCATTTGGCTTAAAAACCTCACAATTTTCCTTGCCCCTCACTCCCCTAACAGTGCTCTTTCTCAGACATTTGCTGCCCCCCACCTACCATCCCCCAAACTGGCTTCTCCAACCACATAATATATTCCATCCAAAACAAAGGACTATATTTACTAGTTGCCTAGACAAACCAGGAAATTCCCAAACCAATGACTTTGTTCGTGCTATGTCGTCTTTAATGTCCTCTCCCCGTTCTTCGTACCCAAAGTCTAGACATTCTTCACACCCCAGGTCAATGCCACTTTTCCCACCAAGCTCTCTCAGAGGCCCCAACTCAAAGTAAGTGTTGTCTCCCAATACTCTCCATTTTTCTCTGAAACACGTTTTTCAAAAAACCTTGCAATTGTTCCTTTCTCCTTTGGTAAACTATATACTCCCCATGGTAAACATACCCAATTTATTTCTGTATTCCTTCCTTCTCTTTTCATAGGTACTTGAAGATCTTGATAAATAATATATGGCAACAGCATAGTATAAAGGCTAAAAGCACAGACTCTGAAGACAGACTGTTTGAACCTGAATCTTAATACTGCCATTTGTTAGCTATGTGACCATGGGCAAGTTACTTAATCTCTGTATGCTACAATATCTTTATGTATAAAATGGAGATAATAAGAGTAGATATTTCATAAAGTTGTCAGAGGACTTGGCTTAGAACAGTATAAGCATCATAAAAGTATCTATTAAATACAGTGGAAAAATACTGAACATTCTGTGATACATGAGTAAATCTTTATCTATGGAAAGCAAAATGAAGCCAGTCTCTAGGTACTAAATAGGTATATACAAATTCTTCCTAAATCTTCTTATGTATTCCCTAAGGGTTAGCTGTGTCCTTTAAAATCTTCCCTATGTTAACAATGGTTCTGTTGTAGTTTGACATTTCAATTTCTGAGAAAATATTTAGTTCAGCTTCCTGTGACAATAAGACACCTAATTGATCTTCTTGCCTCTAGTCTTACCCCCTTTAATCCATCCTCCCATGGCTCAAAGAGTATCTTTCTAAAATGCAGACCTAATGTTTTCCCACTGCTACAAACCCCCTTCATTCCATCCCCCTTAGGGTAAAGTTTAAAATCCTTAGTCATACAAATTCCTCCAAATATGGCCCCTGCCTAGTTTCCAGCTTCATCTCTCAACACTTTTTACCATAAAACCTAATCACCTGGCCACATCTCAAAAGCTCTTTGTATGTCATTCCTTTTGCTAGAACATCTCTCCATTAGTTTGCTAGGGCCACCATAACAAAATACCACAGACTGGGTAGCTTAAACAACAGAAGTTTATTTTCTCACAGTTCTGGAGGCTAGAAGTCTAAGATCAACATGTCAGCAACACTGGTTTCTCCTGAGGCTTGCAGATGGCTGCCTTCTCAATGTGTCCTCACATGTTTTTTTTTTTCCTATATGCACATGTCCCTGGTGTCTTTTTGTATCCAAAGTTCGTCTTCTTATAAGGTTACCAGTCAGAATGAATTATAACACACCTTAAAGGTCTCATTTTAACTTAATTACCTCTTTAAAGGCCTCATCTCCAAATACAGTCACATTCTGAGGTTATGGGGGCTAGGACTTCAACTTAGAAATTTTGGAGAAACACAATTCAGCCCACAACAACCCCTTCTCCTTTTCTTTAGCCAGGCTAATTCCTATTTGTTTTTCCAAGACTGGCCCAAGCCTTCCCATCCAGGCAGATTTCACTGCCCTGTCTCTGTGTTCCCATAGTACTTCTGCGTGCTGCTCTCTGTATGCTGCTATCCCATTAACAGACTATCCCAGTTGTCTCTTTCCTTCTTCAGACTGTATTCCTTAAGAGCAGAGACTAAATCTCTAGCACTTAGCACATTGTCTGTTCCATTGAAGGTATTTACTAAGGATTTGATTATTTAGGGAAAGTAGAAGAACATGGACTTTGAAGAAAGGCAAGCATGAGTTCAAATCCTGGCTATACCATTTATTTATCTTGTGGCTTTCGACAAGTCACTAAATGCTGACCTTCCATTCTACATAAGACAGTTATAAAGATAAATGACCTAATTATAATAAAAGCATCTAGTTGTAGGGTTGGTACACAGTAGGTGCTCAATAAATGTTAGAGTACAGATTCTGGGATTGCCTGGGTTTGACACCCAATTCCACCACTTAGTAGCTGAATGACCTTGGGTATGTTAACTTATCCTCTGCTTCAGTTGCTTATCTATTAAGAACATCTCACACTGCTACTGTGAGGATAAGTTAATATAGGTAAAATATTTAGATGGGTATCTAACACTTACAAATGTATCTAACACTATACAAATGTTTCCTATTATATGATCACTGCAGATCTGAACTAATATGACTGGAAATCATGAATAATTTAGTTCATTCAATTATGAAGTTATTTTAAATGTGAATATTACTTTAATGCCTCAGATTTCTTACCAACTAAACAGGATAGTAACTAAAGAGGTTCAAAAACTGGTACAGATGATATAAACAAAGATCAAAATATAAACAAAGATCAAAATAAACATGAAATAATATCATCTGCCTCATTCCTTATATTGGTGTTTAAATATACTTTGGGTATTGAAGTAAAAAATCTTAAGAAACAAGTTTTTCTACTCTTTGCGACTACAGATGTTAACCATTTGCAGTAGAGAATAACACTCCTTGGCTCATATTTTCAACTTCAGAACCACTAAACCTTTGAACTGGAAAGACCTTTGAGATGAAGTCCTATCATGGCTTACATTAAGTAAACAGGTGGATTTGTAACGGGCTTTCAGGGTCTTAATGAGCAGCTCTGTGGAGGATGGGAATTACAAGCAGAAAGAATAACTGGTTCAAAAGTACTAAAGCAGGGTTCATAACTTATTCTAGATGTCCAAGGTATGTAGTAGGAACCAGTATTAGGAAATAACGCTGGAAAATGCTTTTGAATCATCTAACCTTTAAGGTCAGTAATTTCTGAAGTAGGTACAAGTTACCTGACCTATAACTTTTAAGTAAGGCAGATCTAGGTATGAATCTCCACTTGTTACATAAGCAAAGCTGAGCCTCAGATTATGCAACAGGGTTATTATAGTGATTAAGTGATCAAATGTACATACAGCTCATAACTGAGATGCCTGGCTGATTGAAAGTACTCAAATTTTTGTCTTTCTGACCCCCCTCACCATACGAATAAAAATCTGCAAAATAATAAAACACTGTCTTTCATACAGTATGTGTTTGCTGAATGTCTGAGACTTGTTGAACATTACTTAATTTTAAAAACAGAAAGCTGGAATAACTGCTGAAATGATCAAGTGTTTTCATCCCTGCCCTTTCTCCCCACCAAATGTCCTTCACAATTTCTTCGCAAGTGTCACTGCACCACCATTGACATGCTATTAACATGCTGTAGCTTCCAATTCTACAGCAAAGATTTGAAGGTCAGGAAAAAATAATCACTGAAATAGATAAAACAAAACAAAACTAAAGTAAACTGGAAGAGTCCATTTCATTTTATTCCTATGGTCCATTCTAGCTTGATGAATTTCCAGTGAAAAGTTAGTTTCTGACGCAGAAACTGCAGGTTTAAATAAAAGGTTCGTGGGCAAGTAACTGAGTTCACCGCTTTTATAATGACCCAGAAATCTTTTAAGTGTTTAGGAGACTATCTTTACTCTGGTTCTAAAAGGACATCTGCCAATATCCATTATTTACGCTTGAAACTAAAGGCGTCTTTTAAAAGACGTGCGGTGTCTGGCTCAAAATCAATCGCAAGAAAAGCCCAACTCAACACAGAAAGAGCTCTTTCCAATATCCTCTCGTCTCGCTCACATCACAGATGGCGACCAAGGCTTAAGGTTTAACGTCCAGACACTAAAGCCGCTTATCGCTCAAGGATGGGGCACCAGGTGGGTGCTGTCCGGCAGAGGATGGGATGCTGCCAATCCTGAGAGGTGCTGCTGGGGTGCACCCCGAGGCCGGAGCCCAACGCCCAACACTTCGCACTTACACTTGGGAAACCACCCTCTTCCCACCGCGGCGGTAGGGGGGTGGGGGGACGGACCCGGCGAGGACCCAGTCCTCCGGTACCCAGCTCAGGATCCGGTGTCCGCGCGTGACCTCCGAAGACCGGGAGGAGCGCGGGGTGGGGAGGTTCCTTTGCCTTCAAGGGAGGATGGCAAGGGCAAGTTCGAGTCGTGCGCGGGAAGGTTACTCACAGGAATGGTCCGGCGTCCTCCGTCCTTCGCACCCGCTTGCTCAGGGAGAAGCCTCTAAAGCGGCAGCAGCCTGAGAGGAGCAGCAGAAGCGGCCGCCGCTGCCAGTAACCGTCCGGGCGTGGCAGGAACGGACTGGCGATTTCACAACATCATCATTCGGCGACTTCGGTTTTGCAGCTACTCCAGGTCAATGACAGCCCCCACACATTTGGGGAAGAGAGGAGGAAACCCATTCTCCCAGCAGCCTGCACGGCACCAGCGCACGACCTGCTGGGGATTGTAGTTTCCTCTAGACCACGCCCCTAACTCTAAAGGCCACGCCCCTCGCTGCTACCCCGGGGGCGGGGCGGGGCCAGGGCGAGGGCGAGGGCGAGGGCGAGGGCGAGGGCGGGGGCGGGGGCGGGGGCGGGGGCGGGGCCGCGACCCTGGGGCCAGGGTGGGGCGAGCCCAGTGCCGGAGGGCTGCTGGGGGTTGGGGCCGAATTCCAGGCCCACAGTGCCGGACGGGTTGCGCCGCCCTCCTGGCTCCGCGGCTTGTGCCGCGAGCGAGCCTTGCGCGCTCGCTTTGCCGCTGGGCGGGCCTGGCGCCCGGGCCCCGCACCGCTGGCCGCCTGAGGAGAGCCGCTGGCCGCAGTCGCCGCCAGGGTAATGAGGGGAGGCCGGGCTGGGGAGGGGAAGAGCTACGGTCTGGTCGCGAAGTGAGGGAGCGCGGCTCCGCCAGCGCACGCCTATGGAAGCTCGAGGCTAGAACTCGCCGCCCTGCTTCCAGCCTGAGCCCGGGAGGCCGACAGAGCCGTGGCGGGAGTCCGGCTCGGCGTGGCGAGCGGCCCCTGCGTGCCGCGCCGCTCCGGCTCGGCCCGGGGTCCCGGGCTGCGTGGCGGCCGAGGCACCTGCGTGCGGGGTAGGCGGTGCCTGCTGGGGTCGGCGGTGCCAGGTGCGCGGGGCCCAGCTGCCCGCGGCGCCACCCCCACCCCTGCTGTCACCTTTGGCCGCACTCACACGCGCGCGGAGTCTCCAGACCCGAGGTGCCGTCCGGCCCGGCTCTGTGTGCCGCCTTCTGCGAGTTCGCTCCAAAGTCCCCGAAAGCAGGACTCGGAAGGAAGGTTTTACGTAATTGAACGCTCAAGCCGCGTTTCGTCCTCGGTATTTAAGTTCAGCGTTGTGTTTTTCCCTCGTGAGTTTGTTGTGTCGCGTACCTTTTTCCTCAGAACTCGATTGGAATTGGTGACAGCGCCTATCTAGGATAGTTCCTGGCACACAGTAGGCGCTTAGTAAATATTTTTTGAAAGCCTGAGTCACGATGCTAAGTTTGGAAAATTCTACCGAGTTGTGCGTGACTATAATTTTTAAGATTTTATGGGTTCCCAAGATAACTTTGAAAATTACAGTAATTTTAAAGCTCCGCAAAGAGAGTTAAATCTGGCTTTTTTGCATTCCCTGTAACAAGGGCCTCTGTTGGATGCTTAAATTAACTGAAAACCCGAGTTCTGTAATTTAGATGCGCCTTCCGATTGTCGCAGAAAGTGTTAACCTTTCAGATTAAAGCTTTCGGAGGAACCATTCTATTTTAGAACAAATTTAAATCATTTAGAAAGCTTTATTTTAATTCTCTTAGAGATAATTGCGAGGGACCACACTGATATACTTGTAAATACATTTAGAAATACAAGTCTCAAGTGTGAATTTTTGAAAAGGGTTTATGTTCATAGCTAGTGAAAGAGCATACAGGAGAAAATTATGAGGGCAGATCTATACCCCGCTCTCCAGCGATCCCCCCCGCACCCCCCCCCC